GGGGGGAGAAGGGAAGACAAGAATTGACAGAATGGGCTTGACTGATTTATGTCGCAGATAATGAAGACAAGGTTTTGAGCTGTTATTCATAGGGTCACTGAGTCATACTCAACTTGACAGCAGCTAAAAACAAAAGTTCCTATCTATTTTAAACTTCCCTAAAACACCTTCTTTTTTCACTTTACATAGACAGTAAAATTTTAGCATTTTCTTTTAAAATTTTGTATGTTTTAAGGAAAAAAACTGGGCCAAAAAAATGTTTCTCTTATAAAAGCAACTCAGCTTAAATTCACATACATTTCCTATAAACATAAATTACAGTGTTGCAGGTGTAAACTTTTTAATCCAATCTATAGATAATAAAACTTGGAGCCAGAATCAGGACTTTTCTTTTTGGGTTTTTTTTTTAGGACGTTTTGTTAATTTCAAATATTACATTTTAACATAAGCTGCATATGCAGAATGAACCCCACATCACTTTCACTTAGCTCAAGGATTTAAGAAATTCCTAGTATGTTGAGATCCTTTATATGGTCCTAATTTCTCCCTTTTTTTCTCATCTACCTCACAAACTGCTACTATTCTCAATGTTTTTACCATTCATTTCTTTTTCTTTATAGTGTAGAATGTCACACAAATTGAACACATCAATATATAATCAGTTTTTCACTTAATGTCTGAGATTCAACTATGCCAATATATTTAGCTTTATTATTTTCACTGTTGTTCTATTCTTTTTGTAAAACCAAGTCTTCAAGAGACATTATTCCTTTCAATACTCTGATGAAAGTCTCCGAGTACATATAAAAAATACAAAACCACCACCAAAAAGCCTTCATATTCATTACCCTCAAGTTGGAAGAGACTGAGCTGACCCTCCACCAGGTTTTCAGAGTTTCTAAATCAAAAGAGAAGAGGCTGCCCATCATTCTCCTGTAAAGTGGCTGGAAGTTTCAAGCCAACAGAGAGGTAGCACTTTCAGTGTGCAGCTCAACATTCTATAGACTAAGCCACTAATGCTTCCAGATCATATCTGTTGTTGTTATCATGTTTGTTGGTATGTATTTTCAAGTCAGAACCAACTGATAACCTACAGTGGGTTCTGAGAGGCTGTAAATCTCCTAAGGGATTGCCCATCTTTCTCCCCACCATGGAGCAGCTGGTGGATTCCAACTGCTTGCCTCTGGGTTGTCAATACAACTCCTAACCAGAAGGCTGGTCCTTCCTGACAATATGCCCAAAAGAGTTTCATCATCATTCCTGTAAGGAGCATTTTGGGTGCACTTTTTTAAAGATAGATTTGCTTGCACATATGTTGTTAATACGTTGTAATTGTTCTGCATTTTTCCCTCTCCTGAACCAACTTCATCATCTCTAACACACCTGACCCCACTGCCACACTCAGTGTCAATACATCTCTTCCAGGGCCTTTCTCTCCTATGTTGACCTTTTAGTCCTCTAAGCATGATGTCCTTCTCCAAGGAGTGGTCCCCCCCAGGAACATGCTAGAAGTACGCAAGACAGAGCTTCAAAATCCTTGCCTTCAAGGAGTAAATTGTTTCATCTTCTCAAAGACAAATTTGTTTCGTCTCTTGGCAGTCCATGATGTGTTCAATATTCTTCCCCAGCACCACAATTCAAAGGCATCAATTCTTCTGAAATACTTACTCACTGTTCAGCTCTCATATGCATAGCAAGCAATTGAGAAGACCATGGCCTGGACCGGGCACAGCTTAGTCTTGTTGCTCTTTAGCACTCTGACGAGATTCTTTACAGCAGATTTTCCCAATGCAACTCATATTTTGATCCCCTGACTGCTGGTGCCAAGAATACTGATTGTGGATCCAAGTAAGATGAAATCATTAACCACTTCAATCCTTTCCCCATCTATCATACTACGTCCTACTGACCTGGTCGCTAGAATCTTTGTTTTCTTGATGTTGAGATGCAATCCATATTGAAGGCCGCAGTCTTTGACATTCTGCAGCAAGCACTTCAACTTTCCGGTTTCTTCTATGACTAAGGTTGTGTCATCTGCATAACGCAAATTGAGTGCATGTATAGGGGTCTGGAATTTTCACATTACATTGTTGTTGTTATGTGCCATCGAGTCGCTTGCAACTCATAGCGACCCTATGTACAAGAGCCATAAACGCCATTCTATCCCGGCCAATCTCACCATCTCAAACACACTCATTCCCACCACTCTACTCACAGAATCGATCCATCTCAACGAGGGTCTTCCTCTCCAGCGCCGTCCCTCTCCAAGGACCAGTCCCTCCTTGCAACATGCAAAGTATGTCAGACGAAGCTTCCGAATCCTTGACTCCAAGGAGCATGTCCATGGTATATTCAACACTCTTCTCCAGCACCACTGCTCAAAGGCATCAATTCTCTATCATCCCTAGTCTCTGTCCAACTATCCGATGCATAGCACGTAATAGCAAAGACTATATAGCCTGAATCAGGCACACCTTAGTCTCCAGCCTGACACTGTTGCTCTTCAGTATTCTTGAGAGATCCCTCACAGCTGACTTTCCAATGCAACTTGTCTCCTGATTTCCTGGCTCCTGTCACCAAGAGCATTGACTGTGGAACCAAGTACACTAAAACTGTTAACTATCTCAATCTCTTCACCATCCACACTGATGCTGCCAATTGGCCCAGTGGTGAGAATCTTTGTCTTCTTGATGTTGAGCTTCATTCCATATTAAAGACTGCGGTCCTTGACCTTCTGCAGCATTACATAGCAAAATTCAATTAACCAATATAATGAAGTAATTAATATAATAATAATACAACTGTTTAAACTACTTGCCACATTTTTATATGGACTAGTTAAGGAGTCTTTGGTGGGCTTGGCCTTAGGGAGCTTCGCTGCTAACTCAAGGGCCACCCTTTATTAGCAATGAATCCATCAGTAACTGCAAGAGGAAAATGAGATCTCTCATGAAAATTACAGTTTTGGGAATACAATGGAGAATCAGCTCTGAGTCGGTTCCATTCCATGGCAATGTGTTTGGGTTTTCATCTTGTTCTTTACTGAGTTACTACAATTAAGTAACTAATTTGTTTTTAGAATTAAGGAGTTTTAATGGCATAGCCCCATGCAAGCTGGGGCTGCTAACCAAAATGCTAGGCCTCTCAAGCTGTTCGAATGTACCAGGCATTTTCGGGAGCATGATTAGCAGTCACCTTCTATTTAGTTTCCTAATTCTGGTGTGGGTTTGATAGAGTAGGAATCTATCCACTGGCAGAGTGTATTGCACTCAAGCATTTGGTTTTCAAAGTAAGATAATGGCCTCAAAATTTCAGATTCAAAGGAATCATAAATTCAAACTGCCTATTACTTTCATTATAGTGGTTGTTTTTACCTGAAAGCGTTGGTAATATCTTTTCCTCAAGCTTTGAAATGGAAAAAAAAATAAGGACACTAGAGTAGCAGCTGACTCTACTCAGGGGGTTTGTCACCAACGATCAGCTGGTTCCGTGGCAATTTTTAAAAAAACTGCTATTCACGTAATCTGAATCCTCAGAAAAAAGCAACATTTGCTCCAAAATTAATAGTAATAATATTAATATAAAATAGAAAAATATATTATAATGATAATAAAGTAGCAATGCGTCGTCTGTTCCATCTTTTCTACAAGAGCAGCGGTCCCACAGAAGTCTGAGTTTTCTCAAGGATCTCGAACGCATTCGTAAACAAGTTGGGGGCGAGACAGAGCACAGCCAAGATTTCAAACTGCATCAAACCCAATTTCCTCGACGCAGTTGTAGGACCTGAGGAAAGGGGGCTTCAACTCTAGGGGAGAAGGGCACGCCCTTACCTTGGCGGTCCTCGGGCTGCACCAGTCGGTTGGTGACAGTGTCGCATAGGGACATGATCTCATTGTTGTCCAAAAGGCCGAGCAGATTACGACAGCCCTCTATCTCTGGCTGACTGAGGCCCGACATCTTAAACCCCAAGAAGGGGATAGAGAGTGACGCCAATAGCGTCACCCCTACTCATTACGGCAACACACTCAGGAGGTGCCTTTTTAGCTGGTCCGCCTTCAAAAAGCCTCCGGGTATTTTGAGCGGAAGTGTCCAAAAAAAGACGTCACTCTGCAACCCGGAACCTTGATTTGACGTTCCGGCATATCATCCCTGGCACAGATAGAGCAAAGTCCCACGTATCAAAAGTTAACTTTTATAAAGAGAACTCGGAATTCCCACAAAGCAATTTGTTGCAGGAAACGAATGTTTCATCTTGAGACATCTTCCTATAGCATCTCTGAGGGCTGTGCAAGTGTAAGGGCGCAAAAAGTGATTAAGCTTAGGAACCTGCGTGGTCCCCTGATTCCGCGGGGAGAACAATTGGGGACAGCGCCTTCTAGTCAGCTGTACCTGCTACAGGAAGCGCTTGAATTTCCTGTTACCACGTTTGAATTGGAGAAGTGACGGTTCGATTACATCTCAATCAGTGCTAAAATGATTTCTTCAGCGTTATACTGTGAACAGGTTAAAAAAGAAAATGACTTCCTTTATTTCGCATTGCACATTTTCAAATTCAACGTTGAACTGAAGACATGCTGGGATCTTAATGCTTCCTGCGTTTTTCTCCCACTTGGCTTTGGGAGAGCCAGCTTCGCACTTGATTTAAGTTTGAGGACTCTGGAAGCTAAATTACCAAGTTCTAACAATGCTCACTGCAAACAGAGTGGACAATCTCCTTAACCGTTTTGTTTTTCAATTTTATTATCTCGAAATGAACATAGTAAAGATGTCTTTTATATATTATTGTGGAGTGTTGCTGCTATGTGACATCGAGGTATGGCTCATAGCAATCCTATGAACAACAGACTTGAATCCAGCCCTATTCTGTGTCATCCTCATAATCTCTGCTACACCTGATCCCATTGCTTGCAGTCAGCTTGTCCATCACGTGGGGGTCCTCTCTTTACTGACCCTCCACCTTTCCAAGCGTGATAATATCACTCCCCAAGGAATAGGCCTCCCAACAACATCTTTATGAGAGAAGGCATCGTCATTCCTGCTTCTGATGAACACTTTACCTGCACCTTTTCCAGAGACCTATTTTGCGAGGTGGGGTGGTGGGGGTATTCCATTAGTTACTTTGTTCTCCAGCACCACAGAACAAAAGCATTAATTCTTCTCTCATCCATATTGTCTTATAGAAAGTGATTGAAAGACCACAGCCTGAATCAGGCACCCCTTAGTTTTCAAACTTAAATGATTGCTTTTCAGTATTATGGAGAGGTCCCTGAGGGTAGATTTGACCAAAACAGTGCTACTGCTGGTAAGAAAGGTGTTGATTGTAATGGGATAAAGGGGAGTTAAACAGTACTTAGTGCCTCCCTAGAAAGCTCAATATGTGATGTTACGTGCCATCAGACTCATGACTGCTCCTTCAGCAGCTTTTCAGAGGTTGTAAAGAGAACAGGAGATGGCCCATCTTTCTCCCAATGAGTAGCTGGCAGTTGTTACTATGACAACTCATAATCTTGAGAGGGAAAACAGTCATACTCTGCTAGACCAATCTGCAATTTAAACACATTTTTTTACTTGTGTTAACACAGTGTCTCCTATCTTTAGCTATGTTTTACGTTTTTTGTTGATTGCCCTCGGGTCAAGAATGACTTATAGCAACCCTATGAACAAGACTAGTGAAGCCTTTTTATAAGTGTCGTTTCTCAAAGTTCATAGAGTTTCCGGAGGCATATTATTTAGGAAATGGATGCAACTCAGGGTATCTGCGTTTAGTAGCAGAAATGTTCACATCTGCAAATCCAGCAAGTAGCTTTGACATCCTCCCCCTAAAAATCACAGCTAATTATTACTCATAAAGATATACTGTGTACAGAATAGAAGTAACATTTTGCAACCCTGCTGTAGACTATCCAAAAAACTACAGAAAACTACCAGAACTTCAGCTTGCTCTGGTCCACAATCAACACTCTTGACACCAGCAGTTAGGAAATCAAAAGATGAATAGCATTAAGGAAGTCTGTTGTCAGGGACCTTTCTAAAGTGTTAAAGAGCAATGATGCCAATTTAGAGACTAAGGTGTGCCCGATCCAGGTCATGGTCTTTACAAGTACTTGCTATGCATCAGAGAGTTGGAAAATGATTAAGAATGACAAAAGAAGAATTGATGCCTTTGAGTTATAGTGCTGGAAAAAAGTATTGGACCATGGACCACCAGAACAACAAATAGGTCTGTCTTAGAGAGGGTGAAACGAAATTTTGCCTTGCAGTCAAGAGTTTTGAAGCTCCATCTCAAATACTTTGGGCACATGGCCAGAAGGCACCAGCCTTTGGAGAAGGACTTCATGCTTAGAAGGGTGGAGGGACAGTGCAAGAGAGGAAGACCCTAAATAAGATGGATTGACATGGTAACTGGGGCAACAGGGTTAGGTGTATCCATCAATGAAACTGGTTCAGGATAGGGCAGGGTTCAGAGCTTTTGTACACAGGGTTGCTGTGAGTTGAAGGTGACTTGATGGCACATAACAACACAATAACAATGGTTAATTTGCAAGTGAATGGCATTTGCAGTACCATTTATTTAACAGATAGCAGATCTTCATATTTCATGAAGCTGTACTGACAACTCTTAAGACACACAGTTAGAATCCACCAGTTGCTCTGGAGAAACCTGGGCAGTCTCTCCCTTGTGATTAATAGACTCTGAAAACCCACTGGAGGATCAGCTCTTGAGTTGATTGTAACTCGACCCCATAGCACTTTCTTAAAGAGAGCTCTGGTGGCACCATTACTGTTATGTACCATCCATTCAGAAGTGATTTATAATCACCTCTCCAGCTGGAGAAAAACACAGAAGAGGAGTTGGTCTCCTCTTTCTCTCTATGCATTGGCAGCTCAACTCCTTACCACTAAACCACAAGAGCTCCCTCTGGTGTCCAAGTATGTAGCAATTTATGCTACTAATCCAGAGGCTGCACCTGTCTAGCAGTTCTAATTCATCAGTGGCTCTGCGGGAGAAAGATAAACAGTCCAATCAAATGCAATTTACAACCCCTGAAAGCCAACAGAGAGTCACCTGTGAGTCAATTCCCACTGGGAGACAATGAGTGTAAAAGACTTGTTAGGGTTATAGCCCCAGTTATGGAAAAGAAAAAGATCTCCAGGTATTGCTATATGACGCTGGGAGACAAAAGTGCCCTCAGTTGAGGACCATTAACATATAGCAGATTTGTCTGAAAATTCTTTCTGGGATGATAAAAATATACAGTACTTTCTTACTAATATGTATCAGGGACCTCTGGTGGCCTAGTGGTGAGAGAAGGATGGACAGTCTCCTCTCTTGTGATCTGCTGCCTCTGAACACCCTCTGGAAGGTAAGCTATTAGTCGGTTCTGACTCTATGTCACATAACATTAACAACATTAATAAATCTTGTAGAGGGCCAGGAGTAAGCAAAAGGAATATAAAAATATAGATTGATTTGAGATTAGTGGTAGTGATTTTAACATGAGATGAGTTTCACAAGATCTGAATGAAAAGAACAAATACCTGGGTTGCAGAGCGGGAAATCAGGCAGGAAGGCAAGAGCAAAGACAACAGTATGTCTGTCAGCTATGAGTATTAAGCATTTGTAATGTGGGTAATGCAGCTGAGGGGCTGAAATTTGTATTTTATTTATGTTAATGAAAAAGAGAAATGGTTAGTGGCTTCAGCACACCAGCGGTTTTGTAGCCAAAAGTCAGGCTTTATTCATCTGACTTCATTTGCTACTATTTCCAATCTCCCATTTGCAGTTTTGCTCTGAATCAGAATTAACAGTAATCTTTATTAACTTTATCCACTCCACTTATTCACACAGATTATCTTGCTATCTATCTTGATATGTAGGTCACTGCCTCAAAGCCTTTGCTGTTCCTTTCCTGCCTGATACTTTCCCCTCTCCACCCAAGTATTTCAATGGCTCTTTTCCTTCACTTAGGTCTTACTAAATTAATTAGTAATCTAATTAATGAGACCTTCCCTTCTCACTTTAAAATCATTGTCACTAACCCAAATCTGCCTATACTTTCCATATTCCTTTTGCTTTCCCCTACTCCACATTTATTAGCATACCTAATTGTTGCCTCTCATTGTGAATGTCAGTCTTGTAAGGCAGGGATTTCCTTTTGGCTTAAACATTTTTTTCCCCTGATTGCACAAAGTATGAAATATTTGTTGACCACATGATTTAGGAAGCCATTATCCGGTTTTAAACAAAGATATGACATGCTCTAAGTTGCTCACTTTGGCTTCTAGTTTGAGGAACAAACTGAAGTGTAGGTGGTTGTTATATTATGTACCATCAAGTCAAAACGGACTCATAAGGGACCCTCCAGTTTTCAGAGGTAGTAAATCTCCTACTTAGTAAACTATATTAGTCTAGGTGAGGAAAGATAGTGGCTTGAATAATTGTGGTAGCAGTGGCAGATGTAATAAAGAAAATTGCAAGGTTTTACTTTGGGAAGTTCCAAGAAAGGCGTTACCATGTACTCAGATAAAGAAGACTGGGAAAACTAAATTGCAGGAGAGAAAATCAGAAATTATCACACTATCAAGCTGTTTTTGAGAAAAGTAGTGATGCCCAAGTTTAAGAATGAGGAGTGAGTGAGGAAGAGGGGAAATAATTCCAGTCATATAGGGCAATAATTATATGCACAGACTAAAACAGCATGATGAAATCAAGCGGAGTCATTTTTTAAAATATGACTGGAGCCAAAGACATAGTCAATAAAGCAGACATCCTCATATTCTCTGCTTTCAGAAGAGATCTGACATCAACACTGATGCCCCTCGTGCCATGGTCTCTTCTAAATTCAGACTGAGCAAGATTTTGCTTGATAGTGATACTGCTGGAGAGTTTCCCACATTCCGTTGGATCACCTTTCTTGGGAATAGTAACCTGGGTGTCTTCCAGTCAGGTGGATAGG